GAGAGAGAGAGAGAGGGCTTCGAATGATAATGATCTATATTATATACCTTAGGAGAGGGAAGAGAGTAGTGTTATTTAGTTCCATGCGGGTAATCTCCACATATGAAGAGGTAATAATATCTTTTGTCTCGATTTTCTAGTTTTTTAACCATTCAATAGGGGAAAATTATGGATACCCTCATGGACCATACTTTCTAAGCGTATGACCTTGCAGTATTTTTAGGCGTAGAATCTCCTAATATTTTTTAAATCCCACAACCAACCCAATGTCTATTTAACTTTGCAACCACCTCCACCAGGAATAAAGTAGTCATTGTTTTGGATGAGAATATTGCTGTGTAAATAAATCACAATTTTCTCTCTAAAAATTTAAAATTTTAGAAAAAGAAACTATCTAAAAAACTTTAGAGATAAATTATCTTAAATTACTAGTATTTAGAGAAATTTTTTGGGAGAAACTATCTCAAAACATTTCTATCTCAAATTTCAATAGAAAAAAATTTTCTCAAAATTTTTAGAGAGAGAATACAAAAACTTATATTTCAAGTTGTTTGAGAGAGGAACTTTAAGACAGAGAGTGAAGGGATGTGCACCAATTGTAGGTTTATATATGTGGGGTATTTTTATCCAAAACATTTTTTTTTTTTTTTTTTTTGGGAGTTGGCTCAAAACTAAATAGTAATGAGGTTAGTTTTGTTACTTACACAGTAGTGGTGGAGCTGTGCTTAGTAAGTGTGAAAAGTACTGGGTACAGCAATGCTTGACAGTGGGGTCTAGGGGATACATCATGAGGATAGAGTGGAGGTACACTTGACTTAAACCGGTTTGGTGGACCATCTTAGGCCTTCATCACCATTAGGCCCATTGATGAGAGCAGACCATGGTGTTATACTAGCATTTATTATTCTATACTTTCCAATGATCAAAGGGCCTCACATTGTTCCCAGGGATCTAGGCCACATTTTGGGTTCCATAAAAAATAGTGTGAAATGGTTTGATAGGGCTGCAACCCTATCAAAATACGGAAACCTCACTTCATGACTCATTACTTCAATTGTCGAAGAACCTTTAAATCGATCATCTCAGCTTGAACATTAGGTTGTGAAAAAGAAATAGGATTTCAAGTTCTCAAAATAGTCTATATTGCAACAAATTATCTAGACCATCTGTTTCATCCTAAAAATAAGTATTCACGGATCTGCAAGATCTATACCATATTTTTAGTACTATATTCCAGGAGGTCCCTTCGCTATTCTGAACTGGAGAACTTCCTTAATCTATCTGTGTCTCTTGAGGAGCAATTCTTCCCTTTATGGGCGAAGATAGGCTCTTTTGGTGCCCCTCCCCATCGGGTTTCTTCTCGGTTTCATCCTTCTACCGAAAGCTTTCTCAACCTCCTACCTATCCCCTTAATCCCCCCTCCTTAGCAGCTCGGGCTTGGTTCTCCTTGGTGCCACACAAAATTCTGTTCTTTACTTGGTTGACCTTACACCGAAGGGTTCTAACAGTTGATCTCCTTTAGAGAAGAGGCATACCCATGCCAAACCGGTGCACTCTATGTCTCTAGGTGGGGGAGAGACCTCTTTCTCCATTGTCCTTTTGCCTTCTTCTTGTGGGGTTTTCTTCTCAATCTTTTCAACTGGCAATGGGTGACACCTCAATCTATCCCTTGTCTCTTCTCCTCTTTGTTGCCTTCCCCTTTGGCAGAGTCGGGTCGCTTGCTCTAGAAGGCATCTATCTTTGCTCTCCTCTTGACGATTTGGCTTGAGCGAAACAATCGAATCTTCCAAGGTATATACAAATACCCTGAAGTGCTTTTCAATCAGATCAAGTCCCTTGTCTCCTTCTGGGCATCCGAGGACAAAGTCTTCAAAAGTGTTATGAGGTCAGCATTCCAGCTCAATTGGCAACCTCTGCTCCACCTTTCTCACCCCGGGGTCTCTAGGTCTTCCCACTGGTCCCCCCCAATTTCGGGAACCATCAAGCTCAATTTTGATGGGTGTTCCCTGGGTAACCCCGGCCATGAAGGCATAGGTAGCCTCTTCCGGAACAATGAGGGCCACATTCTTGCGTCATTTTCCAAATCGATCGGTCATTCCGACGCCCAATCAGTGGAAGCCCTTGTGCTTCTTGAAGGTTTGCGATTTTTTGTCGCTCATTGGGCTTGCCTCCTCATCGCCGAAGGAGATTCCAGCAATGTCATCCAATGGGCCTCGGCAGCAGCACCCTATCCTTGGGAATTGGCGCTCACTTTCGAAGAGATCACCCATCTTTGTTTCTGGAATTTCGATCTCATGGAGCCATGTTTGGCGCAAGAGTAATTCTGAGGCGGATGCCCTTGCCAAAGAAGGTGCCTCTAACACCTCCACAGCGGAAGATTAGGAATGCATCTGGAAGGATCTGCCGGTCTCGTTTGCGAGTTTTAGATTTTACAGTTTTCTTCCTGGGTCCCTGTGGGGTTACCTACCCTTGTCTATTTTATATCTGGCCCCGCCTTGGGGGGCTCCGCAATTGTATCTTCACTTTCATTTCAATAAGGAGTTAAACAGTCTCAAAAAAAAAAAAAACTCAACCCACCTCCTTTACCGGCTTGGGATGGGTTAAGGGAAGTTTAAGGTCCTCACCCTTATTAGACTAATCTCCTTAGGAAACCATTACCCCTAAATGTTGAGCATGACAAGGATTTTTTGCATGCTGAAATTGAAGGTTTGGATCAACAAGATTAGCCTTAGACTTGCCATTTCTTTACATATACATGTCATTGCTCTTGATTCCTAACTTATATGAATCTGGTGTTAGTATACCGTGTCACCTATTTATTCAAGAGCTCTCTCTCGCTCTCATGCTTGGGTTGTTCTAATTCTAGACTCGTGTTTGGTAGGTCATTGATGGAGCACAAGCTAAGGGCTGGAACCACTCTCATTGTCGATAGATATTCTTACTCTGGTGTGGCTTTCTCAGCTGCCAAAGGTCTTGATCTTGAGTGGAGTAAGGTGCAGTTTTATGATACCTGTTTCTGTATCACGAACTCTACCTTTTTCTTTCTTTGCATTTTTAAGGTGCCAAAACTTTTATCTATGATTAACTCTTACTCCCCTAGCCCAAAGAAGAAAGAACTTGTGATCTCTACGGGACCTAAAGATCTTGATCTCTATGTATGATGAATTATATTGTTTTTGCCCTTTCTAAAGTCCTTATGTTTCTTTTTTTGCAGGCTCCTGAGATGGGATTGTTGGCTCCAGACCTTGTAGTCTACTTAGATATTCCTCCTGAGGTACTGTATATCTCAAATATATTTTATGAGGAAAAGAATAATATATTCCAATGGATTATGGAAAACTACAGTGCATTAGAGTCATGACCATCTAGAGGAAGTGGTCCAATTTTGGGTATTAATCTGTCCATCACCATCCATTATTTTCTTGGACAGTGATGATCCAAATGGACTATGGCTTCCTGTATTCCATTTGAGGATAGGATACTCTCCCATTTCTTTAAACTTGTGTTATACATGAAATATCAGGAATTCTGGCTTGACACTGTTATCTCAACCCTTTGCAATTTGGGTTTCCCCAAATTACCCTAAGCAACAATATATTTCAGATATTCATATTATATTGGGTAGTTAATATTAATTCCGGCACTTTTCTTGAATCAAAACCTTTTTTAAAATATTTTTTGATTGATTGCTTATTACTTTTTAGTTCTTATTAGTTCTTATTTCATTTTTGGATGTTTCTTGTGTGATATTTCTCATCTTTTAATATCATCCCATCGACATTGTAAATTGTTTGGTCGGGTGAACTTGTATGTCCCAGAAAGCTGCTGAGAGAGGAGGATATGGAGGACAGAGATATGAACAGCTGAGTTCCAAAGGAAAGTGGACCAACATTACGGAACGCTTCATGACCCCACATAGAAGGTACACGCTTAAACTTGTCAGACACTTGTTTTAAATCTCTCTCTCTCTCTCTCTCTCTCTCTCTCTCTCTTGCTCGCTCGCTCTGTGACAAATTACAGTTCTTTTTCTTTTGCCTTATGTGCCTGACTAGGTTTTCCTGAGTTGTTTATTTCAATGGCTTGCAGGTTGTTGATGCATGTCTATCCATGGAGGATGTAGAGGAACGTCTGAGACAACTAGCTAAAGACTCTGTTAGCTCTTGCCAAAATGGGATGCAACTCTCTCAACTATGGTTAAAGGTTTAGTTTCCCTCTAGGAATGAAAGCAGGGCTAATGATCACGCGAAATTCGCAGCATATTGGAGAATGATATTTGATATTGGTTGCTTAATTAAGGTTTCATGTTGTGAAACAACAGAATATGGTTAGAGAGAGAGAGAGAGAGAGAGAGAGCTGTGTACATGTTCGCTGCTATTACTGTTTCTTGCTTTTGATGCCAGTATTACTGATCACGACCAGTTTCCTATGAGATACTGGCAAAAGAGAAATTTCTTAAGATGTAATTCAGTTTTAGTGTGAGAGTTTACAGTATTCATTCCAGGATGAGAGGTCCTGATGATCCATTTATGGACCCCATGCTATTATATCATGTTTACCATCATGTATTGGAAACTATTCCATCGGCATTCCATTGGTCTCTCTCTCATACAAACACATATTGATCTTGAGTAAGAGAGTTAATTTAGAGCTTAATGAAATTGATTCTTTTCTACTGCAATCCTACAAAACACCACGTCAAATGTTTCTAGGTGAGAGAGACTTCAATGTAAAAAACAGTTTCCACAGATATTGGTCGCACTTCAATTTTAGCTTCAACTCTAACCAACAAACACATGGTGAATGACAAACTCAAAATAAATCAAAGAACGAACTCTCAGCAACAAAAGGGTTCATCTCATTCTTGTCTCTCCTTTAGGCACGGATGTTGTTAGCTTTCCAGCCTCCTCATAGGTGAATGAAAGCCAACCAGCTCAGATTTGTGTCTTTTCATGCCATGCATTCTTTGCAGCCTTTGTGGAGTGAGCATAATCAAGTATGTTTTCTTTAGCCAATTGATAAAGAATACATGCAAGTACAAACTGCTTGCTGAATAAAATTACTTTGAACAATTTAATGATCTTTTTTCTTGGCATCTCTTTGTGAAAGGATAAGCTTTGTCCTCACCAAAACACCAAAGAATATTGAACCCCCAATACCAATCCAGAGTACTCGAGGACTGATGCCCTGCAAAAGGAAACGACTCAATTTCTGAAACTATTAAAATAAGCTATAGTATTTTGTCTGATGACATATGTATGATTAAGTCATCCATATCAGATGGCTACGGAAGACTTTTAGAATCTATAAAGTTAGTGAAATAGTTAACCTTCAGTAGCGCAGAAGGCCCTTCTTTTACAATTGTCTGAGCGCAATCGAAAATCCCTTTGTATTGGTTGGTTGATCCCTGCAAGTGAGATTAAAATTTACATTTATAAATCGAGAATATAAGAGCATTACAAAACTAATATATGTGGAAAGAGAATCATCTTTTCACAATACTTGCACCATTAATCGGGTCTTAATGACATCAAGAGGAGTGGTCATAGCACCAGTTAATGCACCTGCAAAAGATGCAATAATGAAACTGATACAGAAAAAATTCTAGTAAGCAAAAATTTATAAATAGCTGAAGATATCAAAATTTAGTCCCTTCTACTGCATATATTTGTATCTAATCTATTAACTTTTGAGAAAAAAATTAGTTCAGGTTGGATGGCTCAGAAAGTAAGCTTTATGGCCAAGATAATTGTTGTTTTGTTGCTCTTAATTTAGTTTATTGTCTATGGCGCATGCGATTCATGCAAGTCATATTCTGGCGAGGTGAATTCTACACTAAGTTTAGGTGGATGACAGTAGGGAGGATTTGAGAACATGGGATTTTTTGTACCATGAGTTGAAGCTTCTGATGCAGTGTGCTTTATTTGCTCCTCTTACTAAAAGCATCATTATTATTGATGTTTAAAATTGTAATCATCATCATCATTATACATGCATGCATAATCATTCTTGGGATCAGCACAACTCTAAAGCTAATATAAAGAATTTGTGTTAGGTCTAAGAAAAATGTTTTTTTCTTTAGAAGTTAAAATCAAAATTGAAAATCAAGTCCCTCTCCTCCCTGTTACCATCCTGGTGGACATCCCTCTCAAACTCAGCCTTTGGATGGGCTGGCATTAGGCTGCAAAGGAAACTGCAGCTATTGAAAGGTAACCTGAAGGTCTGGAGTAGGACCCTCCTTGGCTCTTTTGCATCCTAGAAAATGGATACTCTAGAGGAGATTAAACACTCAGACGTGGAAGAGGAATCCAGACCCCTCCTGCCATCAGAATCCCTCTGGAGGTCTAACTTAAAAGTCATCTACCAATCTATACTGGTCCCAAAGGTCACTGGTAAAATAGCTCAAGTCGGGGGACCTCAACACAGGGTTCTTCCACAGAATGGCCAACCGTAGGCAAAGGATAACACTATCTTGCATCTCATGGTGGGGGAAAGACTCCTAGACCAACCTTTTGAGATCGAGGAAGCAGTTCTACTTCAAAAACCTTTTCACATAACCCTCTCCGCCTAGACCAGAGATGGGGGACCTCCAATTTTGAACCCTCCCCCATGACAAAGCACACTGGCTAGAGAGATCATTCTTAGAACAAGAAATTATGTCCACCATCTCTAGTCTGGCAGTGGATAGGTCTCCCAGCCCAGATGGACTGCCCCATTGCACCCGTCAAAGAGGTCTAGGATTCTTTTAGGCCGGACTTTTTGGCACGCTTTTCAGAGTTTTACTCGAGAGGGGTGATACGCTGAGCTATGAATGCTACTTTCATAGCCGTAGTCCCAATGATAGAAGGCACTAAATGCTTGAAGGATTTCCGCCCTATAAGTCTGATCAATTCGACTTATAAAATCATCGCTAAAGTGCTAGCATCTTGTTTAAAGGAGGTGCTCCTTTTGGTAATCTCCCCCAGCCACAGTGCCTTTGTCAAAGATCATCAGATCTTGGACGAAGGCCCTAGTGGCCCACGAATGTATCCACTTGAGACATATAGCTAAAAACCCAGGTCTCACATCCAAGACAAAGTGGACCAAAAACTAACAGGCTGGAAGGGGAAGTTTCTATCCCCTACTGGAAGGCTTACTCTAATCAAAGCCACCCTAGCCAACATCCCGGTATACCAGATGTCCCTTTTTCGAATTCCCACAGCTGTTTGCGATAGGATCAGAAAAGTAATCCGCATATTCTTTTGGTTTGCTGATGCCTCTACACACAAGTTCCACCTCATCTCCTGAGACAAACTGTGCCAACTGAAAAGATTGGGTGGTTTGGGAATAAAAAATCTTAGAATCTAAAACATTGCCCTATTAGGAAAATGGCGCAACTTCAAAGGTTTGTCGACTCTCAGTGAGCTACAACTTCGAAGAAAATTTTTCTCGAGCAGTTTATGTTCGCACTGCTGTGATGCAACAAAAAATTAATAAAGTAAGAGAACAACTACTTTTATGTCAAATCTTGCATAAGAATAATTTTCATTAAATATGTGAATATGTCTTAACATAAGATAGAGAGTTAACAATGATATTTGATATTTTTCAACAAAAAAAAAAAAATTCACAAAATCAAGATCATGAAAATTTCTAACTTAAAGAAACCAAAGCATAGGATAATTATACAATGCAGTGACAATTATTATACAAATAAAATATGTCGAAAATATCTAAATTATAGGTCACAAAAAAAATAAAAATAAATAAATACATACAATCACTGAAATTGGTTATATAGCCAATAGGTTAGACCTTTGTGTATATGTTT